TATGAATTAGAAACTTGGCGTGTCACGAAAAGGATTCCCAGCTGATTGCCAACTTTCATCAACAGCAGCCTTCGCTCCATACTGCAGATCGAATGGCCAGAAAGAATCAGTAAGAAGAAACTGTGGGAACAAACCATCCAAAAACCTACTACTTAACAAACATGTCGGAGAAAATGCAGACTGACTGGACATACATTGAGGAGGCCGTCGAACGAAATCTCTCGCCAGGCCATTGCCTCGACTGGAATCGTTATGGCAAGCGATGGGTGGGTAGTCCTAGGTTAACAGAGAGGAGATCGCGTGAGGAGGAGATTAGAGATTGTGAGCAATCGTGGTTCAAGCTGAAAAGGATGGTAGAAGATAAGAAAAAGTGGAGATCTTTTGTTGAAGCTGTATGTTCTACTTAGATTTCAAGTGCAATACTAATAAATAGTAATAACAATGGAATCCAGAGGTATCAGGCTGCGTGCGCCTGTTTCACTTCGTACAATAAATAACAGTTGTACTTCGCCTGAGTAGTTGTTTAATAATGTACGGAAATGCTTAGTGTGTGTTGACATAATTACTTTTATACGGATATCACTTCCAATTAAATACCATTAAACACCGTCAGAGTGATCTCCCATATTCCCTCCCTACTTGTTGATATCTTTTTGTATTCAATAATTAACCGAATATTGTAACTGTTACCGCAAAATTAATGCTAGTACAATAGCGCTGGATGTGGTCAATACTACCTTGTAGTTTCCTTAGAATTTCTTACTGTAGATAATTAAGGGTACCAACTGACAGGAGTATTTCTGTGTGACTTTTTGTACTGTTTCCATCAATAAGAGGCAACAATTCTGTGTTTTGTTTCATTAACCTTGAAAATGTTGCCCTTATATATATATATATATATACGCAACTGCTAGTATTTAAGTTTTAATTATATCTAAAGGAGAATAAATTGATACATTAGACGTTGACGGTTGCCGAGAAATGTGTCTTCACAGACAGACGATCCATATGTATGTATGTCAGGTTTGTTTTATTCATGGAAGAATTAATTCTCAGTGAGATGATCAGTCTGTGAACAAATGCTACATTGTTTCACCACTTAGCCTAATTCTTCAGCTAACTTGTGGTGAGTTAAAACGGTGAACAATATATTATTCATAAATTAAATGATGAAGAAACTGAGACGGGGTTATAAGAAGCCTTTTCTGACAGAATAACATTAAAATATTAAAGTTTGTTGTGAGTGAGTCAGTGGCATAGCGGTTAGGACGCTCGCCGACCATGCACGTGGTCCGTACGCACTCCTTTACCTAGTTAAGCCAGAAATAATGCTGGTGAAGAGGAAAGGTTGGGCATGAGGCTAACAACCCCATCCTGTAAAAATTAACACTGCTACAGAAACTTCAAGCCACTAGCTTGAAGCCCTATGTTCCACTGGGGAACGTGAAGGAAACAAAAAAATTAAAGTTTGTTGTGAGAAAGAAAACGCTTCAGAAATTATTCTAAATTGTAGAAAACATTAATGTCATTTGCAGTACATTCCAACTGTCTTGTTTAATTCAATAAGTTTATTGAGTTTTTGGAACATTATTATTAGGAATCCATGAAAAACAAGAATTTTATGCTTTTTACCATTTGTTCACTTATTTTTCATACCTCAGTATGATGCCAATATTTTCTGTAGTGTTTGTCAACTTTCTGCAAATACAAATAATTAAACTGGTTATCCAGAATCGATGGTCATAGACAATTAAATGTTGCTGAGAATACCGTATCTTGAATGACCAGGAAGTTTGGAAGGAAGGAAAGGCATCTATTCACTGTAACAAAGACTGCTTTAACAAACTACCTAAGAAAGGAAACCTAGGTTATGGCGAAAAATTGGTGCGGAATCATACTCCTATCTACGTCAAGCAAAATAATAAGCCATGAGAGCCAAGACGGAAGGACTTAAGTAAACCTTGGGAGCTAAACTACGACTGGAACAAGGTAAATTCAGGGAGAACCAGTTATGTGTTGAACAAACTGCAACTTTACAGATAGTCATTAAAAAAGGCAAAGAAAGGCAGGTGAACATCTATCTGAACTTCATTGATCTTGAAACGGCCTTCAACGGCTTAGACTTTGAATTTATTTGGAAACCAATTCAAGGCTGTAGAGTGCCTCAGACGTTTACAGACCTCAGTCAGCAGCCACAGGGTTAAAAAGCAGAGAGTGGTGGTGAAGATATCAACTAACCAACAGCAACAATAAGGATCAGTTGCTAATAACCGGAGAAATCTCCAAGGAAGTTTCTGCTTTCACCAAACCAGGAGGTATCGTTTCACTTAAATACGAGACAGAAATAAACGACCAGCAAGACAGACCTTCGTCACTCTGAAATCATTGTAGAAACCTGCAGCTAACAGCATGAAGTACAAGATTCTGAAATTCAATGCTCATGTCAAATCTTTGCTTCCGTATTATTATTATTGTTCCCTTGGGTTCCTAGTGGAACATAGGGCTTCAACTGCACGTCTCCACTTGTTTCTGTCTTCTGCTGTACTTTTCACCTGCATCCATGTTAATCCATACTGTTTCAATTCCTCTTCACACAATCTCCTCCATGTCACCCTTGAACGTCCCACCCGCCACTTACCTTTCCGGTTCCACTCGAGCTATGGCCTGACGTGCGATGTCACCCAACGGCCTCCTCAGTGAGTGTCCAATCCATCTCCACTTTCTCCTGCATATTTGTTGAGCGACTGGTTCTTGTTTTGTTTCTTCCCATAGTTTCTTGTTGGTGATTCCCCCCGGCCATCTGATCTTCAGTATAGAACGAAGACAGCTGTTGATAAAGGTCTGCAACAGGCTGTTGGAAATCCTCTTTGTGACCCACCAAGTTTCTGATCCGTATAGAAGAACTGACTTACTTGACGTTTGTATTGAAAATTCGAATTTTGTTGTTGATGCTGAGTGACGAAGATTTCCAGGTTGATTTCAGGTTGATGAATGTGTTTCTCGCCTTCCTGATTCTCGATTCGACATCTTCGTCCTGAGTGGAGCCAGAATAGGAAACAGCCAGGTGAGAATGGATTCAAGGCTTAAATGCAGAAGTATGTGTGAGCAGAAGATGGGAACTTAGGGGCAATTCTGGAGCCAAGTGAAGAAGGTTGGAGAAAACAGGATGAATTGGAAATGTGCTACTGAAGCTTTATGTTTCATTGAAAACCCATGGTAATAATAGTAAATAATATAATATTGAACAAAATATTCCTATGTTGAATTATAACAAAAAGACGTTAGGAGCGAAGACAATTTTCTTTTCGACGATTCATTTTCACAAGCTGTACAGTTTTAATTTAATTTAAGAAGAAATCAAAACATTAATCAGATCCTGATAACATTTGTCCGCGAAAAACGTATTCTGTAATGTGAGGTGTAACCTAGAAGGGGTGAATAAATGGAAATAAGAAAAGAGGCAGAAGTTTGAATGACGTGATTAATGTGAAATGGTATTAATGTGACGGATGGTATATTCGAAATCCATTGTGCAATATTGAGGGGATCTGTGTAGCACCGTGAAGCATTCATACGTGGGTACTCGATGTTCAGAGTTTACAAGGTGTTCGAGGATGGAGCTGCTACAATTCCCCTTTTCTTCTCTGTCTAGCCAAGCTGGACAGTGTTCCAGAACACGTTTGTCGACTTGATGTTGCAGACGGTTAAAATACTTTTCTCCACGCGAACAATTAAACTGATAAATACACACTGAGGTGGCCAAAAGCTGTATCTTGTCTTTAACATTGGAGTGGACAAATTTTCTGCTGGAGAACGTGATGAATAGTGTAGCTGCTTGAGTTTCTAATAATTGCTGCTTTGGTGACACTTTTGAATTCCAGGTTCATGAAGAGAGTTTTATTAGAAGCAGTTGTGATTTTTGGCGACGGAGGCTCTTCCTTCATGCTTTTGTCGGTGAATCTTGGTAGTTACCGTTTCTCTAGTAGGTTTTCACGTAATGAATTTAACTCATTCTCTTACTTTCGATAACGAAAAGAGGAGATGGTACTGTGAAATCATACTGTAACGAAAATGGCTTCTCGATATATAAGATTGTAGAGTTTAATTTCACCCAGAAGGACTATTTTTATCGGTAATAATAAACTGAGATACAGTTTTATTAACCGATGCCACTTGAATTACAGCTTATCGCTCAAAATCATGTTAAGGTGTTATGATCATGAATAGTAAATTGTACTCATAGGATCATAAGTTTTACATTTCAACTACAGTCTTTATTCGCAAATTATTCAAACCTAAAGAAAAGTAGGATATTTTGTATTAAATAGCATAATTTCATCTGATGATATTAGATGGTTGGAGGTAATCAGCAGGAAGCCTTGGACCTAGACTTTGTGCTTATTGGCACCCACCAGTCAGCAAGACATATCTGCACCCTTGAAGGAACTTACATCCCTTCTGAGATTCTAACCCGCGTCACCTAGTGCTGCAGTCAGAGACATTACCACGGGGCTATTCAGGCTCGCGATTGAACTCTTTTAGGACCGTATTGGATACTTTGATTGGACACTAGTAACCAGTGTGATGTTTCTAGTCCTTTCTTAGGTGCAAACTTAAATTCTATCAGTCAGGTTCGCTAGGCGAGCTAACTAGAATGGTGGCCACATTGCAAAATTGACTGGTGAAATTCAGTCTGCATTAAACAAAGTACTAGACACATCACACTAGTAACTAGTGTCCAATCAAAGCATAATTTAATCCTCCAACCAATAATATCATTCCCTTGAGTTCTAAGTAGAGCATAGTACATAAGCAGCACATCTCAGATTCATTCTGTTCTCTGAGGTCCTCTTTGCTCAGCTCAACAACTGCTCTTATTTCTTCCTCACTTGATCACTGTTCCCTTCGGCAAGTAGAGATAGGTTGGATCACAGCAAAATCCAGACCGAATCGATTTCTAAGTAGTCTGGCTACTGCCTTCCGTAAATCACTGATAGTAATCACGATGGCTGTATTGACGGTACAGGCGATTTATTTTGCTCAAGTAATTTACCAAATGTTTTGTTTTTGACAGTAGCATCAACTTTACCATGTTTAAATTTTTCAGCACAATGAGAGATAATATATCTATAATAACCATTTTCCCATGCTGCATTCTTACTTAAAAGCTAGAAAATGTTAAGGGATATTTGTGTCTACTTACTTTTCAGGATGTATATGTGATGTGAGTTTAGGAGTAACTTGTAACATCCTTGCTAATCGGTTGATGCGCCTAACCGGTGAAGTTTGACAACAATAGCAATCCACCACACTGAATGGCAGTGTCATATCGGTCGTCTCAGGACCACCTTGTCCATTTACTCAGATTTATCAGGCGATTTCATTCTAATGGTTCGCATAAGCTGTAAATATTATTATGTTTGTGCGATGCAACTGGCTGCCATGCTACACAATGCATTTGATTCATATTCTTTCCATTTTTAGTATTACTTCTTTGTTTAAGCTGAAATAGTTATTTTCAAGTGTGCTGGTTTGCAGAGATTTGATTGGTTACCGGCTCAGTCACAAGCTGACATCAGTTAGAGAACCATCGGAATACGACGGAGTACTGGAAAGCTGAAACGGTGAAGACTCTCACATCAAGACGAAACTGCCGTCAGTTACTTCCCGCATTTCAAATTTTTTCGCCAACTGACGTCAGCTTGCGATCAAACCTGAAATTATTAAGCCGATAATCTGTCATTCCGATAAGATTCTGTGCATGAAAGACGAGTGTATACGGTGTCGTGAGATTTCAGTTAGTATACTGAACATAGTATTGAAGTAAACTGTGTAGTGCAATTTCTGATTTAAATGGCTTAAAACACCAAAAATATTGTGCCTCTTGTGCTACATTTCTCTTCTGCTTGCATCATACCAATATTTGTTTAACATGTACCTCAGGAGTTTAAAGGCAATTATGCAGACTTCAAAATGCTTGAACAGTCTTCCAGATAATCCGACTGTTTTTTTTCGGACACCGTTGGTATAAAGACTAATCATCGGTAACTTTAGGATTTTTTATATCAGTTACATAACACTAATTGAAATGTACAGCCTCTTGTTGAGAGCAATCGATAAGGCTCAAGTAACACGATATCAGTTACTCACACATTACTATTTAGAATGATTTTTTTGTAATTGATACTAACTTGTACAGATATAAAGATAAACAAACTGCCTTACTGAAATTTGATACCTACAACTTACAAGTTCAATTTGTTATTTAACTCAAGCGTAAAACGCTAGGAAAAATATGTTTGGCAAAAATAATAATAATAAAAATTAAGAAATATCTCACCTGACCATTGGTAGTTTCGTAAGCGATTTTTTCACATGGTTTATAAAGCTCACGAGCTGAACAAAAAGTCCAACTGCTTAAGCGCTCACGTAATCATTGGAGAGACAAAACGCTGTTAGTTATTTCATCTACAAGGAGTGACGACAACAGTATAGTTTGCCTTTATTTGCTTATGTATGTCTACATTCATCAATCGAAAAAGCTGAAGAGTTAGACTATGGTTAAGTTGGAGTGAATCCATTGAAATAAAAACTTGTCTTTCTGTAATATTTATCACACTTTTTTAGCTTTTTCTCTTCTCATAAAGTGAGTAAATTGATACACTAAAAGGAAACGAAACATGTACACTGGACATACAGGTGTAAACTGATCATATATCTGTCTCGATATACACTGATACAAAAGAAATGGATGGATTGATGTATAAAGGTTTCTGCTAATTTTCCGTCTAGTATAACCTAACGTTTACCACACCTACACTTGCATACATTTTATATGATCGCAGAAGTGCTAAATAATATCAAAGGAGATGAGTCAGCATTGGTACATTAGTCAGCAGGTTAAGCTATATTAAAAAAAATGAATTACTAAACCAATGTAGCGAATTAATATTTATTAGATATTATACACTTTAGAGTAAGCTTTGATGACATGTGGTAAACTTGAAAGGAAATAAATGAAAGTGAAAATCTAGATCAGATTTAAATTTCAATCGCTTGTCTTCGATGTTGGTCTGACAAGAAGGTTGTAAAAGATTTGCACTTTCCGGACGATTTATGTCTAATGTCATGCAAACTCAGAGATCTGCAGATGAAAGCCGACAAGCTGACGGAAGAAACAGGGATGACAAGACTTCAGGTGAACATAGTGATGAAAATACCAAACTATTAACAAAGAGAAGTATGAAACATCATTAAAATAGAGAAATTTAAAGAATGTCATCTTTTTCACTTGTCTAAGAAGCATAATGTCAACTACTGGTGGCATCGACGAGGATGCCGAATTCTATCAGGATAGGAGAAACAGGAAGGGTTTCTGATACTAATGTCATATCAGTTCTTCTGTGCGGTCCAGCGAATTGTCACGAAGGTTTTGAAAAGCCATTCGACTAGGCTTCAGACTTTCATCAAAAGCTTTTCGCTTCACCCTTTCCTGAAGATCAGGTTGCCAGAATTGGAGCATTAGCAGCAGGGAACGGTGAAACAAAGCGAACAAGGACCTGTAGCTCAGAAAGGTTTTCGAAAAATTGGAGATGGATCGAACACACGGTGAATAGACCTTTGGATGACATTGTGCGCTTGTCCATCATTCGAGTGGAAGCCGAATGGAAAACGAAGAGTTTGGCATGGTTCTGGGGATGACACGAGTAAGGTCGTATGAAACAGTGACAGCTTATAGGCAATCGTGGAGCCAAATAAAAACGACTGCGTAGAATGGGATGAAGTAAAGTTGTGTTATTTAACCTCTCTGTTCCAATCGGAATCAAAATATAGGCCTAACCGAATTTCAAAGACACAAATTACAGCAAGTACAGTCAAGTTTGTAATCCATTCACCAGGCTAGGGGACTCGCCATCGCAGTGTGCTTTCAAATAATGTCGGATAACACCCACTACATTCTTACAGGACACAAAATTCTGACAAGGTAATCAGTCGTGAAGTTTCTGACGGTAACACTAGGTGGTATGCTATTGAATCTCTTATGTCCATCTGTTGCCTTGGTGTTGAGGACACAATAGGCGAACGAGTGTTAGTAACTTCTAAATGTGGATTGCAGTCATCTGATCTTCTTGAGAACGCCTAACAAATTTTCCCCAGAAGTTTCAACTTCTTGGTGACTGAAAAGCAAAGTCCAAACTACCTAAATAAACGAAAATAGTACCATACTGTCAAATAATCTCTCAAGAGAGTCTGTATAACTGTACAGTCTATGTAGTATACAACCACAGCATTCTTTGCCAACTAGGGTGATTCGAAGATAGAACGGCTCTGCCGACTGTTTTCGGCCAAGTTCACCAGTCCATCACTTGAGCACAACCAACATCCGGATAGTTAAATAGGAAACTTTGCTTGCTTTCTTCAGGCTAATTATTCTGTCATTTATGTCACATACTGTGATACATTTTCAAATGAAAACGTAGTGATTTGCCATCATGAATTGGGAATTTTCGAAGTTTAAACTAGCTGTACAGCAATGAGGACTCACAGTTCTATTGTTGGTTTTGTGAAATTTTTTCTAGATATAAATATGATTGTACAGATCTTGAAAGTGATTAATTGAAAATAACATGCTCTTCTCTGTTATGTCTTCTTTTGTTTATCGTTTGAATGATAATTATTTTTTTGACTTACAAAACAGCTAAGTGTAGCATTATGTAGCTAAGGCAGTGTGTTGGCATTCTAGAGTAAGTGACCAGTTTCGCACGGTTGCTTTAAATATCCCTTAAATGAAGCCAGTATTGCTGGGTGTTCAGACTCAAAATTACAGATACAAAGGTTGAATGAGAACATATTTCTGGGATTAGTATGTGTATATCAGTCACATGGGCTAGTAGTGCTTGCTAGCCAGATAGAAGCCATCTATATGACTGACGGCTATCCCACTTATCTGAGGCCCAACTCATCAGTGTTGTGTGCAGTTTGACTCAGCTCAGGGAGTTAAATCAGTTCAAACCAACTAGTTATTGGTCAGCTATTTGGGTGAACAGGCAAGACCATTAAACTAATTCTCAGTTTGCAAATTAGTTCGCAGTTTCGCAATGTTTCACTTCGAGATGATTATCTCACTGTAGTCTCCTGTGTGAACCGAAATTATTCAGATCACGATATATGATCTGCCTGTTTCACTAAATGTTGTTCAAGAAACCAAGCATAAACGCACAGCACTACATGCTAACTGATTGCTTGTTGAATCTGTTCCATATTTGATTGATCCAGATCACATTCAGAAAAATTCATGCAGATAAATCTGGGCAGAGAACAAATCTACCTCTAAAACGTCATCAATGTGGCAGTTTACTCCCTTATGGAGTTCTTGTTTGGTTTGTAACGCTGTCGACTGGTGGAATTCTCTGCTTTTATATTTTTGGTAAGTTTAAATCTGAGAACCTATCGCTTTTGTTCTCTGTATGTTGTCTACAATGCAGTCGCAGTGAGCAGCGTTGAGAGATTCTCTTGGCTAAGAATCTTCGCTAACCAGAAAATTATTCTGAAAATGTGTTGCACTCAAGATAGACAACAGGAATTGGACTGTCAGCACTACTGTCAGGCCACTTCCATATAAGTTACAAAATTTCATCAACTGCTGACATCAGTTAGAGAACCATTCAAAAACCTGGGAGTACTGGACAGCCGTTTCGTCCTAGTTTTGGACTCTTCATCGTCACGGACAGGTCGGGTTTCTATCCCAGGACGACTGCCGGCTCATGATGAAATCTTGTAACCAATCAATCAAATCCCTACAAATCAACAATTGAATATCAATTCTATATCGCCGAGAGACTTCACATGTCACTGAAATAATTCTCGACAGACTACAGACATCTGTCAATAACTGCCTTTACTCGCTTCTTGAGATCGGATGGTCAGAAAGGATTAGCGACAAGGAACTCCGAAAGCAAATCAGTTAAACTTTATTACCCAATAAATGTACATAAAAAATTGGAGATGAACTGGATGCAATGTGATATGACCATTGAGTGTAATTGCGTTGCAGGACGCTGATTGGAATCCGAATGAGAAACTACGAGTTTTCCGTGTATCTGAGTGCAATATGGAGAGGATCGTATGACGACGAGGTGATAGCCAATAGATTAACATGAAATAATGGAGATGTGTTGGAAATCAATGTTCAACTCAAATCTTAGGGGGATTTTAACAGTAATAATAATCGTTTCTAGTTCATCTTTTTG